CTCTTCAGGCACGCATTTCTCTCTCTCTTTTCTCCTCCTCTAACTAACACACCACACACAGATTCCTGTGTAGACGCACATCTGGAGACTAACTCCACCACCGCGCCATTACACACATAGGCTACACACACACACACACATAGAGATCTGTACACTCGCGGCCATCCAGACGCCTCAGAGACACAGATCGTGTAGGGCCGAACTCGGTCTCTTTTAGACATTAAGGACACATTTAGGTCTTTGTTAGGTGTGCGCCATCGGAAGGGCGACCACGTGGGACGAAGCAATCTCCCCCTCTCCCCCTCCTCTCTCCACACACACACACACACACACACACACACACACACACACACACACACACACACACACACACCACACACACACACACAACACACAACTCCATTCTTCAAACAAATCCACTGATTTGAGTGATATTTTGGTTATATTTACCTGATTACAGGTTGGTGCCCCAAAACGAGATTAAACATAGTTTAATGATATTTCATTTATATTATTAATAATTAAGTATAATTATTAAAGAATATAACCAAAGTTGACTTGATACAACCCCAACATTAACATACTTAGACTGCACCTAAGATCTTCCTGCACTTTAAGTTAGATTGTAGAACTGCATCTTAACTGTCTCAGTTTTTACACTCACAGTTACAGTAAAACCGTCTAGTCTCTAACAGACAGGTGTACATACCATCCAAATCCCATATCAATAACATTACCCGGTCTGCATACTTCCACTTACGAAACATCAACCGTCTCCGCCCCTCCCCTCACCCCCATACTGCCTCAATCCTTGTCCACAGCCTCGTCATCTCCCGTATTGATTATTGTAATTCTCTCCTCTTCGGCCTCCCTCATAAGTCCCTCCATAAGCTCCAACTGGTTCAAAACTCTGCTGCCCGTATTGTCACCAAAACCCCCTCATACCATCATATCACCCCCATCCTACAGACTCAAAACCCATCTGTTCAAGATCGCCTACTCACTCTAACATTTTAACTGTAATTACACTGTCCTACATTTCATTTCTTTATTGTATGCTGTTTTTTTTATCCATCACTGTTTTTAAAATGTTGATTGTACAGTGTCCTTGTGTGTCTTGAAAGACGCTTAAAATAAAATGTATTTATTATTATTATTATCCGGGCAGACCTCAAACAGCAGCAGAGCACTGAATGTAAAAAAAGTATCTCAATATCGGATGCGATCAGCGGCCATCTCTGCAGGTAGGAACGTCTGTTTCCTCTTCGTCTGTTTCCTCTTCTTTGCTGAATCGCAAAAAAAAAAGGACAAGGCAGGAAGAGAGCATGCAGTCTGACCAGACCTGATACTTTATTGTTAGCAGAGCGGAATAAGGTTAAACATTTTATATCAATGTTTTCTTTTAACCCGCTGTGTGCTGTCCACATACAGCATTAGCTTCTTTATCCACACAGTTTGACCTTAGTTTATGTTACAATGCACATCAGTGATGAGCAAACAGCACTTTATTTTAAATGCAGCATCTTCAGTAATTATTTATGGTCAGAAGAGTCACATACAGGTTAGTTAACATCTTCATCTGCTCCAAATCTTGTACAGCTCATACTACAGCAGGACAACAGAAGAAGGATGAACAGAAGGGGACATAAGGGAAATGAGCTTGTTGCTGTCGACTGTGCTCATGGATTATATTTGGACACACGGTGGCAGTGCTGCCTCAAACAAGAGACCCAGTAGGAGCAATGAAGAAAATCAGGGGGCAGCAAAAGCAGCACCAGACGGACCAAAATCCACCACTCACAATCACTATTCATTCTGCATCTTCATTAAAACTCCTGACAAAGAAGCCATCAAAGACCTCACTGTTGTAGGTCAGGTCATCTAAATAAGTCCAAACCAGAAAGCCAAGCAAGCCTTTCAACCTGCTCCTTTACTCATGTCCACCTCACGAAAAATAAGAACGACCCCCAAATATCATTTTTTTCTTAATCTGTGAGACTCTCATTTTTCTGTTTGGGTTAGGGTTTCTGTTTAATACAAGAATGCAACATTAATTAAAGTTGGAAGCTTTAAAGTGTGTTTCTTCTTAACAACCAAACAATGAAAATCATTAACTGGATAAGTAGGCTAGAAAATGTGCCCAATATTGAGGATTCATTTACTTTTTTTTTCTTTTGGAGGGGGATTTATTTTTGTTTGTATGCGTACCAAAAGTTGCTAACATTGCTCAACCTGTTTATAACAGAGACCGTTTATCCTCTGCTGGACCGGCCACCTTTAAAAAAAACATTTTACCAAGAGTATACCCCCTTCTTTAGACACCAACACACCACTGTGTTTACCTGATTAAAGGTGTATCCATGAAGTGGAGATAAATACTGTTGTTTACAGGCAGAGTGGCTGCTGTGTCACAGAGTTAGTGCAAAGCTCAAAGAAAAGTAGGAGCTTAAAAAAAGTCAACCTAGCTGCTGATGGGAATGAAACATCTAACCATTATTTTACCTCAAAGTTACAAAAGATGCAACGCAGAGCTTAACCGTCTAAAACTCTGTGACCCCCCTTAGACCCTCGAACCTTTCACAAGAAAAGAGAAATTCATAGAAACCAACAACTTTCAAAAAAAAAATGGGAAGAGCATTTCAGAAAGTTTCCTATCAACGAAATCTTACCTCAGTAGTTCATGATTTCCTGTTTAAACTCATAAGTGGGTTGACTTCCTGCAAACATTAAGAAAACAGTATACTGTCAAGGTAACTGTTAAGGACAGGTTTACCATTGGTACATAGTATAACATCTTTAATGGTTTTCTAATATATTCCAGGGTTAGAGTTTTTTTCTTTAGGGTTTTAAGCCATTTGGTGAGGTTAAGAAAATAACATGAAACTGAGCAAAGAAACATTTAAAAAGACGATTGACAGCTTGGTGTTATGAAAAAAAAAGTTTATTGTTGCATAACATAAAACTAGGAGCAATCATGTTAAAAAAAAGAAGAAAAAAAAGGCAGCAGATAAAAACTATGTATAAACAAAGCACGTCTCAAACACAACACAACACACTTTTCTTCATGGACCGAGAAGAAAATCAGAGAAAAGTGATGAGAAGTTATTCAAAAGGTTCAATAGATTTTGTAGTTTCAAAAATCCATCACACACACACACACACACACACACACACACACACAAACACACACACACACACACACACACACACACACACACACACACACACACTGTGCATGGTTTGACTCTTACCAGTAGGTGTTCCTCTTTTGACTTCAGAAGAAACCGTTTCATGAGACATCTTTTCCACAAATGAACAGATGATTCGTTCTTCAATAACAACTCAGACTGAACTGAACAGATGTTGATCTAGATCATAATCTAAGTAGGGAACACCAACAGTATGGGAAAGCTGAAACTAACACAGTAAACATGTCCGACTCTGATATCTGCATGTGTATGTAGTTTTCATGTACAGTTAAGAATATGCATGAAACAGGCAATATAACATATTTGACATATTTTCATGTAAAGAAAGACGTTTGCAATAGAATGCAGTTTCTGTGATTAGGGAAAGTTAGAAATCTGTTGCAAAGCTATTCGCAACAGACTTCTCAAATTTGCCAAGCAAGACCAAAGAAAAGCGAAACAACAGGAAGGTCAGTTCAAATGTATGCCCTCTGTAAAAAAATAAAACTGGCTCAGGCAGAGGAAAAAAAAACTCTCTTAGGAAGCGATAAATATCAATAATCAAAGTTTAAGAGTTGGACGATGGTTGACTTCTATTGGTCGCGACCTGAGATGACTAAGCCAATTCGAAGAAAGTTCATTCCCATGAAGAACCTCGAGTCATTTCAAATATACCAAAATGTTCATTCAAAATAAAGTCTGGACTTGTGTATGTTATGTTTTTGTAGTTGCAGGTGATCCTATCTTCACTTTGGAGTAAACAGAGCTCTCCTCCTCTGGTTCATTTTGCAGACCTGATCAGATGAATAACAAATAAACAAGATTTTTATTTTCAAAAACAGATCGGCATCACATTATAAAATCCAAAGGCTTTTGTTTGAAAGAATATTAAATATTGTAAACACAAATTAAATGAATACATTAAATTAGGTTCAGAAGCAGGACCACGGCCAGCCGTCCCACTCCACCCTCTTTGTCTCGATTCTTTAACCCACCCTCCCTTCCTCTCATCACTTCGCCCTCCTTCCTCATCCCTTCACCCACCTTCCTCATCCCTTCACCCTCCTTCCTCATCCATTCACCCTCCTTCCTCATCCCTTCACCCTCCTTCCTCATCCCTTCCTCATCCCTTCACCCTCCTTCCTCATCCCTTCACCCACCTTCCTCATCCCTTCACCCTTCTTCCTCATCCATTCACCCTCCTTCCTCATCCCTTCACCCACCTTCCTCATCCCTTCACCCTCCTTCCTCATCCCTTCACCCACCTTCCTCATCCCTTCACCCTCCTTCCTCATCTATTCACCCTCCTTCCTCATCCCTTCACCCACCTTCCTCATCCCTTCACCCACCTTCCTCATCCCTTCACCCTCCTTCCTCATCCATTCACCCTCCTTCCTCATCCCTTCACCCTCCTTCCTCATCCCTTCCTCATCCTTCACCCTCCTTCCTCATCCCTTCCTCATCCATTCACCCTCCTTCCTCATCCCTTCACCCTCCTTCCTCATCTATTCACCCTCCTTCCTCATCCCTTCACCCACCTTCCTCATCCCTTCACCCTCCTTCCTCATCCATTCACCCTCCTTCCTCATCCCTTCACCCTCCTTCCTCATCCCTTCCTCATCCCTTCACCCTCCTTCCTCATCCCTTCCTCATCCATTCACCCTCCTTCCTCATCCCTTCACCCTCCTTCCTCTCGTTTGTCTAATTCTAGGAACAATCCGGATTGTGATCAGCTCGGCCAGAATTACGTCTGAGACAGAACCCCCATCCTGAGTCTCCCTCTGCCCTGCAGTCAGTCAATCCTTCAAGACCAGCCAACTGACAACATCCTCTTCTTCTCCTTCTTTTAATATTGTGCTCTTACTGTATCTCAAACACCTTCATGATTTAAAGACTTAAATAAAGGTTGGTGACCATGATTATACCGATATTCTTTTTCGAGCGTTGCAGCGTTGATGAAGCTGTAATGAAGGCGGACCTGGTCTGAAACACGAGTACTCACCTTTACCTCTGTTTTTAAACAGAATCAAAGAGTACGTCACATCGTTGGATTCATCTGCATCTGGAATAAACACGAGAAGATGACTCACCATCTTAAATCAAGGTTACAGTATGTCTATATTAAAAGTTTAACAGAGCAATTTTAACTGTGCTGGGGTCTTTTGACTGAATTAATGATAAAACTATCCCCATTACTTTAAAGATATTTACACATCTGCTTCATTCTTACTGTATTATTAGCCTCATGTTTACTCAAAAAACATTTTTGACAGACTGATTAGTAGTTTTTAGTTCCTATGTTAATGAATAATTAATCAGCCTCAAGTGTTTCTAAGAAATGATGAGGTCTTGAAGATGTATTTTTGTGATATTGACCATTGAGAGACCCTCTACCTTGAGTCTGGTTCTGGTCGACCACGTCATCTGCAGCTGGGCTCTGATTGGTTTTCTGAGACTTTGAGGGTCTAAAAATCCTGAGAACACAAAGTTTAAAGATCCTGTCAAAACGTCAAACAGACATGAGAAGAAACATCTGCACTTTTAGGTTCTAGAGGGAGAAGCGTTTTACCGACCTGGTGACGAATGTATCTGAAAGAAAAAAGGCATTTCTTGTTAAATTGTTTAATATTTCTGAATTGATCATTTTCTCTAAGTTTTGTATGTCTTTGAAAATGATCAGGACTCACTCGTTGACTTTCTGTAGCAACACAGCAGCAGCAGGAGCATCAGGGTTAAAAGGGGAAAAAACAGTCCAAGGACCAATGGCAGAGGAAAGGAGGAACCTTCAGAGCTGGACACTGCCAAAATAAAAGAACAAAATGGTTATTTGTCAGGACATTTTATAGATTGCTTCCACATGTGTAACTGACAGGTACTATTATGTACAAGATACAATTAAATGTTTATCTGTGAACTTATTTAACCAATTTATGTAGGTTTCCTTTTAAAGGTCTTATTTAAGGGAGCAATATGTCACTAGAGATAAAAATGGGTACTGCAGTCCAAATTCAGCCACCTCCTCCCTAGAGTTGATACGCAAGCCGAGTTAGAATAACACAAACACTGAAGCTTCAGTGTTTATCCAGCTCTGCATCGGTCTGTAAACCTTTCTGCGTTCTAACCTCTCTCCATTTTTCTTAAAGCATCTCCTATATTGATCCTAGTTTGAGCACGTTTCTGCTCGTGGAGCTTATTAGAAACATGCAGAGGCTTTTAAGGTCGGGTACAATCACTTCTATCTGAACCAGTTCTGTTGCTCGCTTCCATCACTGAAACACCTGTTGGTTTACCGTTTGCCTGGCAAACTGAGGGGCGTCCAAAACGGCTGTGTGGGGGTGCCTTAAAACCGCTATACCTTCTCTGGTCCAAATAAAAATACAGACCAGTCAGAGAAGCCAGCACTTCAACATATCATGTTTCCTTAATGCCTGATGATATAGTAAAGTCCTTTAATCATTTCATTCAGTAAATATCTTACATATGACTCCTTTAAGGCATCATGTAGCATTACTCTGTCTGTCTAATATAAATTAGAAACACAATCTGTATAAGAGACTTTAAAAAACAATCGTTTCGCAAATTACATTAAGATAAAAAACAAAACATTACTTTGAAAAGTGATGTTGACTGCATTGCTGAATTGGCCTGATGCAGTCTCACACCAGTACACGGCTGTTTTTTTTGTAGGGTTTGTGATGTCACACGTCGAATTTTTCATTGTCCCCCATTCAGAGCAGGTTGACCGATGGCCTTTTTCAGTTAATCTCATCACCCTCCATTTAGAAGAGTTTCCCTCGCAGCTCAGTGAGACATTCTCTGAGGAAACGTGCTGGCCTCTGTCAGGAGGACTCACTTTGATTGAATTTGGATGAATTTCTGAAAAGATAAGAAAAAGTGAAGGGTCAAATCCAGCACAGAGTTTGTAGTTTAATGAGGAAGGTACGGTGAACGGCAAGTTTTGACAGTCTTTAAATACCGACTCCATCTTATTGGCTCTCTTTAGCCGTTCTCACAAATACACTCCTGAAAATATCCAGAGGACTGCTCCGGATATTCTCCTGACTTCGCTGATATTGATTTGTATGTAAGAATGACTTTAATATTGGCCCTAGCTTGTGTGCTTTCTTGGCTTTTTTGTTTGTACACAAACAACTCAGCCTGTCGTGCATGTGTCTGTGTCTGCAGACGTTCAAATGCTTGTCATGTCATATCACAGTACAGTAAAGAATAAACAGAAGTAAACACTTGGTGGTGCTAAAAGTAAAACATACAGACCTCTAGACCAGACAAACGTGGGTCTGCTGGTGCGAGTATCATTTCCCCTGTTAGCTTTGCACACATATGCTGTTGTGTGTGTCTGTCCATGACCAATGTAGGAACATTGACCTTGTCCACTGCAGCTGTGAGACAGTTTCTCATGACTGTAGGAGTTGTTGGATGATCTGGGAACAGCCTTATACCAGTTGAACGTCCACAATCCATAATTTTTGCTAAAACGGCACTTCAGAGTAACATTGGCTCCAGGACTCGGCCATGAAGTGGACACCTTGACAACAGGTCTGGGATCATCTGTTGAAAAGAGATGAAACGACATAAAAAGGTTTCACATGATTTTCAATACCACACACTTCCTTCAGACATAACTCATGAACAGCTAGGGGCCATTCTAGAGTCTGTCCTACTGCCTATTGCAAAATGTGCATATTCTTGGCCACTGTTTTGGTTTAGGTTTGTGAGCCCTCAGGGGCCCCCTACTGGTCTGGGGCCCCAAGCAGTTGCCTGCCTTGCCTGTTGACAAGCAGCACCTCTGTGAACAGCCATGTCTGTTTTTCAGGGAATGTAACACCAACCAGATTAAGTTTTCTTTCACGTAATGAAGACATGCGAGTCCAAGCCGTTTTTGATGGAACATTTCAGAATATACACCGACATTCTTTTTCTGATCCATCTAAATCTGTCTGAATCTCATTGATATTCATCGGTATGTTTCCCTTCCCCTAACTAGATGAACATTTAACACACACACACACACACATTAGTCATATCCTGCTTTGTGTTCAAACATGGACTAAAATACAACATACGTTTGCAGATAATAAACCACGACTGATGATGTAATCAAGCGTGATGCAGTGAGTGAAGACTCATTTGGAGAGAAAAAATAGAACAGAAAAAAAGGAAGCTGGTGTAATCACCTTCAGCGTGTCCACAGTGGATGAGTGTAACCAGCGCTGAAATTAAGATTGATAGATTATTAAATATGATCACAACTAGCAGAAACTGTTTGTTTTAAAGCTTAAAAAATAAAAAAAGGTATTTAACAACAGCTGAAGTTTCAATGTAACTTTTAACGGCTGAAAAACGTCTAAACAGTGAATCATCATTGAACGTCAATCAACAGGAATGAAGTGAAGGCAGTTTCAATCAGAGACCTCGTCGTGAAATAAACAGAAAGGTGTATGACGATATGAAATTCAATAACATAGAATAGTCAAAGTCAAAATGGTCAAAATTTTCTTGACAAATTAACATAAAAACAAACTTGTACTCACTGAAAAACACCACTACACAGACCGTAGTGTGTGCCATGTTGTACCCAGCAGCGACCCACAGTCTCTGTTGAATGTCTGCTTTAAATCTTGAAAGCTGTTGACACTCATATCTTTAATCTGATCTCATGTTTCCTCCAACACCAAGCACAGCGTCTTTTCTTCCCTTTTTTAACACCCACACTTTACGATGACTGTCAAGTACACACACTGCTCGGGCCATGCAGATACTTCTTGTGTCTTGTTCTTGATCCAAGCTAAATGCAAAGAGTTAAGAGTACAAATTACAGTATGTCAAAGTGAAAGTAATTTAGGAATGAAAAGTTACTCGGAAACATCAGGTAGAATCTTATTTGTGTTGAATAGAAAGTGAACACCATGCAGGAGAAATAAGTCTTCAAGTTTTCATTCTCAATCTGACCTTTAATGCAACTAATGCAATTTGTTTGACAGCCAAAATGAACTTGTGATAGTTCACAGGTACGTGTCCTTCATCACTATTAAGTTTGAATTTTCAGAACCTGGTATGAGCTGTGGGGAAAAGTAGATTATTCCCGTGGTAGAGGGAGCAGAAGTGTAGAATTTGTGACGCCTGTATTTGTCCTTTGTGTAGTTTTTGAACATTAAATCATAAAATCAATTTGTGTCTATGTGTGTATTTAACCATTGTGCAGCTTCGATTGTTGCCCCAAAGTTAAGGCAGACAAAAGAAGCCAACCAATCAGCATGGCTGAAGCATACACAGCTTCACAGTTCCTGTTCACACTTTCAAGAAGTGTTGCTGTGGAAGTTTGTTTATCTCCAATATGCACTGCTTAAATGATCTAGATCATTTCAGGAGGACTGCTCCGGATATTTTTCTGACCTGGCTGTTCACACATGAACCTGTGGGAGACTATCCCTGTCAGACAGGAGGGGGGGGCGGGGTCTAATGAGGTGAGACATGACGTAAAAAAAAACAAAAAACCTGGAAGTAGCAGAGGAAGCAACAGAGTCTGCAATACGACGTTCTAATGAGAATATTTGTCCTTATATCAATGCTACGTGTGGTTTAATGGGAATCCCAATATCAACAAAGGAGCGGAGAACATACAAAAGAAGAGAAAACATAAAGCAGCCGTTTAATAACGTGCACAGAGATTGAAGCGGTCGCATGCATACACTTAATGCACTGTGCAGCACTCAGAATATAAACGTCACTCTCCCCTCCCATTGGCTCGAGGGGAATTCTCCAGAGAATATCCTGTTTTTAAGGGTCTGGTGGGAAAAACTCCAGGTGAAGTCTTAAGGAAAAATGTGGTTGTTTGCGTTCACACAAATATCAGGAGTTTTTCATGAGTTTTCTGGAAGTGTGAAAGACAGTTTATCGTCACACTGAGAAGGTATATGTCATGTTTTTTGTATATTTTCATAAGCCTCTGTTTTGTTTATGTAGTTCTTTAATCACCCTTGTCTCTTTCATTTCAGATTCTGCTCATGTTCCCGCCTCGTTTGTCAGCACCGCCTTAATTATTACACTCACCCGAGTCTTTTTATCCCCGGGTTGTCTTTGTATTGAATCCCAGTTTGTGCTCCCTGTTGCCAGATCGTAGCGTTTCCTTTGTCCTAGCATTTTTGTCTATAGCTTTAGTGTTTATGATCTCTGCCTGTTTTTTTCCCTTCTCCTCTGGATTTGTTTGAATTTCTGTGTACCAAACCTTGGACCGCATTAAACGCCTTTCCTTTTTGAACGCTCCCTCTGAGTTTACATCTTTATCCATTGGGTGCCTATCTTTGGGTCACAGTCTGGCACCGGTGCTGCTAATAAGTTCAACACAGAAGCTGTCAGGATATCTTAAAAATCCAATTTTATTGAAATGGCAGAAATCTGTACAGACATGTTCACCAATAACCATTGAAACTCAAATATTGTATGAAAGGCTTTTGTTTGAATACAACAAACTTTAGTATCACTAAGGTAAAGAACAGAAAATGAAATGAACTTAATCAAAATCTAAAAAAATAAAAAACAGAAAACAGGCTAAAACAGCATATGCTAAGTGGTTAGCTTAACGCTAAACTCTGGTTATGTTCTCATTTTTAAATACTATTCCTCGTGGATAAAATCTTCTGCTCTCGATACAGCACGATACAAGTAGTTCAAATGAAATGTAACTTAGTCTAACAAAACAAAAACATATGGAACGTAACAATTCAACTTTACAAACACTTTGTGTACAACTATAACTTTGTTGAAGAGACATATGTCACATTTAAACTTGAATCTGATGAATCAGTTCTTTTCTAATGTGACAGATACATGAGACACCTCAGGTCTTATATCTTCCTTTTCTACTTTGTCATTGCATCACAAACATTAGAAAATGACCAAAGAAATGATCCGCCCTGTCCCAATAAAGGCGGGTAACGCTGCTCACAGCTTACTAGTGAAAGAAGTTAATCGATGCATGAAATGTTCAACCAAACTTTCAGGAATACAAAATAAATACACAATTTAATTTATTTTCTATGCTACTTACTGTACCGAATACTTTTAATAATTTACAAGCACGAGCACAAAATTATCACATGACAGCTGCAAATGCTAATCAAGCCAAGATTTTTTTTTTCACGCTGCCATCCATTCCTTACGTCTATAGATACAGAACTTTATTGATCTGGAAGAGAAGCAAAGGGGGAAGAAAAGATTAGTAATTATTTAAGAATATTGCAATCTTTACCAGACCTTTTTGCCTGTTTTAAAATCAGTTGACATATACATAAAATAAATCCTCATGATGTAAGGTTGCATTAAAACCATGAGCTGTACCTGGTTTGACTTCAGAGTAAACCGATTCTTCAGTTATCGCAGGAGTTGGCTTTCCTGAGAGAGACAATCAGTGTAAAAAAAGTTCATTATACTGAATATTAAGAATAAGCCTTATGTTTGTAATTGTCATGTATGTAATGGTTATTACAATCTGTCATTATTTGTATTGTTGCAGCCATTAACCCTTTCCCCCCTTAGCCAATAAACTGATTTCAGCATCATCTTTAAGCATTAAAGTTGCCTAAGTATGCAAAATGTTCAGAAGCAACACATCTAAAACAAATGCAGAATTCAGATGTATTAAAGGCACAGTATGCAGATTCCACCACCGGGGGGCGCTCAATCAAAACAATAATAAAAGATGACGTTGGTGCTGGCAGGGAATCATGAGTTCTCTCTGCTAATCAATTTAATCAATTTTTTATTGATTTAGATATTTCAACGTAAACATTGTAATTAAATTCTACATATTGGACCTTTAATGTAAGAACACCTGACGGTTAATATTAACAATAAAAGCTTACATCACCTGCGATTTGAAAGAAAAAACACTACATTTATATTGTTCTGTGTTGGAGAAGAAAAACTGCAGTTGATTGCTTACTTCACTCACCTTTGTTTTTCTTGGCTTTACCTGGATTATGGCAGCTGACTTGAGAATAAAGGACAGATGGATCTAAAACAAAAGACAGATTTTAGGATTGGTTTTCTTTGTAGACTGAATTTGTAATGTACAGACGGACGGGTTGAAGGATTGAGAAAGAAAAATGTAGAAACACTTGAGTTTCTATGATGACTGTACAGATTATGTGTTATCACGATGGCAGCTCAGCGAATGTTTCTTCTTCTTGCTTTTGTTTGGACCCAAAACTGTCCATCTTAATACTTAATCTGTGAGATGGAAATGTTCTTAAAACACATGACGATCCGACAATAACATGCATCCAACATACGTTAATTTAAACAGCCAAACTGAGCAGTCACAGGAATAAATGCCCCAAATTTAGCTAACATTTGACAAATTTTGTCTCTTTTGACACCCAGTGGAAATATTTAGAATAATTACTGAACTGCAAGCTGACCCATTATCTCCACCAGTGTGTACCATGATGCATTTTAACATCAACTTAAAGCAGCACTGTAACCTACCTTCTGTTTCTAACCTCACATCAGAATAAATCGTGCTGTCTGGTTCAGGTTTCTTCCCTATAAGACATAACAAATGAGCCGAATGAATGTAAAAACACTTCAGTACTTTTTCTGCTGTATCTTATTGAAATACTTACCTTTCTTTCCGATGTTTTTGAGCTCGATCAGAGAATATGTAACATCATGGGACTGGGAGTGGTTTGCATCTGAAATATATGTTTTGTTATCCACAAACATTCTGGTCCGTGCATAAACTACAGTTCATCTACAGTCGGAAACTATTTCAGGAAACAGTTTAGAGCATATTGGCTGACATCATTGTCCTGGTTTCACTGAGCCAAAACTAAGTTTATGCAAGTGTTTCACAAGCAATCGTTGCCATAACCCTGTGAAGACAAGCAGCACTAAATGTTGGTTAGTTCCACTATTAAAAAAGTACTCTGGAATATTACAAAAAAAGAGGCAAAATCAAGAAAGAGGAACAGTTCCCTTCAAAGTAAAATGTACATGGTGAAGCATGTTCAGTGCAGTTTTTGATTGGAGGTTTAATGGTGCATTCATGTGGTATCGGACACATCTGGAAAACGAGTTTCCGAGTTGTAAAACGTACATGAACGCCTGCTCAAGTCGGAGCAACAACTCGGAAAAAACTCTGGAAAAGATTTGATCCCGACTTGCTGATTTGTGGTCGTATTCGTCATCACATGGGGGGCAAAATATTTGTTTTGTTAATGTTAAGACACTTTTTATTACCGGTAAGTCACAAATTGTACATCAACGTTTGGCTCAAATATAACTCATAACAGAGACATTCACACATCTTTGTAGCGTCCATACTTTCTTTGTAGTTCTTACAACATTCAAACTTTCCGAACTGAAATCACGTGAACACACTGAATCTGGAAGAGCGATTTCACAACTCGGAAACTGGGACCATCTGAGGAGCACATGGATGCAGAATGAGACCAAGTATTTTAACCTTAAGTTTCAGTGATCATTTAGCTTCTTCATCCATGGAAAGTCAATCTAACTACAAAGTAACATTAAAGCAATAAACAAGATCAAGTGTTAATGTATGTGTCTCTAAAGAGAGGCTGAATAAGTCTAACACACTTAAACATTAGCAAAAGGATGATGAAACTTGCCTTCACCCTCTGAAGTGGCATTGTTCATAACCTAACTACAAATGAATTATACATGATGCACCAACCAGTTAAGGACACCATTGCTCAATTTAAGAAATATTATACATTGCACTGATTGCCTAAATTGCATTCCAAAAGCGAAAGTAATTGCGTCGTTTAAAAGAAAACCTTTGCATTTGTTGGAACATTTTCAGTATTAGAAAAGAATAAACTGTACCATGTGCGGTGTCTTCAGGGCCTTTGATTGATTCATAATGACACGCGTCACCTAAAGAGCAATGGAGATCAAATCAATCGAGCTAACTGCACGATAACACTTTGTATCTTTGGATGTTTAAAATAAAAGGTGTTCTTATATATAAATATTTATGATTAATTCAAATGCTTACCCTGCAGGGGAGGTGAGTATTCATGATGCTGAGCGGCCGGATTTGTGGCCGAGTCCTGGTTGGTGCTTTCAGACTGGATTGACCTACAACATTGAGTAAATAAAAAGGTGTTAACATTGGACGTAATGGCAAAGTGTTAATGTAATGTTCAAAATGAGACACAAGAGAGCACTGAACCAACCTGATAAGGCATGAATCTGTAAAAAAGACATTGTGTTGTTCTTTTAGTTTGCCACCATTTCATGTCAAACATTTGGAATAAACCATCAAATGTGTAAGAGAAAAATATTAAATAAAGGTCTCACCCTTTGACTGCCTGCAGCGATACAACAGGAGCAGAAGAATTATAAGTACTACTCCACAAATCAGCCCGACAATCACGAGAATTACAGGATATGAAGGGTTCCCAAGCCTGGACACCACTACAAATAATAACAAATAACTGTTAATGAACTTATAAAACACTTCTTAAGATTATAGACAATGATAATTAAATGTTTTGTCATGTTGTCTCAAGCAACGGTGAAAACAAAACACAAACATGTGTAAAGAAAATAGTCTACAATGAATACATCATTTTATCGCAATCCAGGATTTAACCAAATTACTCATTCAACACTAAATTATTGAATCAATAAGGTCAATCACTTAAAGTGTGGTTACTTCCAACTAGATGGTGTATTTGACCTTTTTCTTTTTCAGACAAAACATGGTTTACATAAAATCATTCAGTAATTTGTATCTTTGTAAGGATGGGAAAGTGGCATAGGCTAAAGAAAGAAAAAAAAAAGAAAAAATGCAAGTGAATTTTTTTACAATGAAAAAAAAAGTGCAGCAATATGTACAGTACAGGCCTGGAGAAAAATGTAAAAATAAAAAATAAAACTAGCAAGAAATAAGTAAATAACAGAATGTAAAAAGTGACAAACTAAAGACGCGACTCAGCGCTAAACAATGCCACCGTGGGCCCTTGCAGCGCGGCACACTCTTTGGTTACTGTCAACAATTCTCCAACACTTTGCCCCTCCAACCACCAACAACCTGCAAGGCCCTCAAGCCTCCTCTTATGTAGGAGTTGGCACCCCGACCAAAAGAGGTGAGAAATCAATTAACTCTCTGGAGAGTATTACCTGTTCTGCAAGAAGCACAAAACATCTACAATAAGGCTAAAAACACATCAAAATACATTTCAGTTAAAGGGATACTTCACCCGCAGCAGCCGTCTCACTGCTATATGTATATTTTTTCACCATTATCAGCTTTCTCCATAGAGCCTGTTAGCATAGCTTCCAAGCAATATGGCGGATGTTAAGTTTCGATTCCTTTAAGTAAATTCTTAAACCACCATTTTTTTTTACAAATCATAATTATTCTCAACAACCTAAACATCCCTCCACCTCTGCCTAACTTGGTGCCTTCCACTTGGCACACCCCCATATAAGCCAAAGGCAGGCTTCATCTCTGTTTGGCTATCTTTTGGAAGTGACTTCAGCTAGTCGGTAGGGCTACTTTGAATTGCTTGAGGACCACTGGACTATGTCTGAGAATTGAACCCAAAGTGAATCAATTCATTTGAATTACAGCAGAGGGCAGCATTACGCCTTGTAGCATTCAGCCTGCCAGAAATTCATGAGAAGAAGAAGCTCTGTCTGGCAGATCCTGGTTGAGAAAGAGGAGTGCAAGCCAGGATATGGAACAACAGAGGACTAACAAGATATATTTGACATGTGTAACACTGAATAATGTGTTTTAATGCAAAAAGTCCATGAGTTTTTTTGTTGCTTGAAAATAAAATGTTTGAAATGATTTTGTCATTCACACCCAAGTATTGGTGGCTAGTCATGCTAAGCTAACGTTAACACAGGCCTCTAAGCCGGCTTGATGTTACTTCAAGAGTGTCTGTTTAACATTAGTGCATGAAAGTATGTACATTACTTTAGAGGGCACGGGGTATCTCCCTGACTATCCCACTCACCTGTTACTGACATCCAACTCTGAGACGACTCTCTCCCTGAGGTCTGACACTTGTAGAAGCCCTCATCAGACTTTGACACAGCAGAGATATTAAGCTCCTTTCTGGTATCATTTTGAATGAGTTTGTTATTCTGATAGAAGAACACATTGGAAACAATATCTGAGCTTCTCAATCTGCAGCTAAGACTAACTGAACTTCCTTCAGTCACTGGATGGACAGGGCTCACCAGGATAATATCAGACTCTGTAAAACAGTTAAAGAAAAGAGGATTCAGTCAGAGGTCATCAGGTTCAAACATGAAAATTAGCAGACACAGAATGATGAGAATATATTTCTTCTTTTTTACAGCAATGCTTCAAAGTGATGATTAATCTGATGTGTTATCTTGTGTACACCTTACTCCTTCTTATGTTTAAGACTTTGGCATCAAATGTGTTTGAACAGCAACTGTCTACAAATGTGATCAGTATTTAATAATGATATACACTCAGACCTTAATCTTTGCTTTTATCTAATTAAGAGAGTAAACTCTCCCACACTGCGCTGCTCTTTTACTTCTCAATGTCGATGGAGATAACGTGGAACTGAATGATGTTGAATTGAATACTTGGATGCTGAAAGATAAAAACTTTAAGAAATGTAATAAAAACATACTCTGTTTAGTGATGTTGACAGCGTTGCTGAACTCCCCTGATCCAGACTCACACCAGTGCACATTATTTCTTGAGATGTGACGATCTATTGTGCATGTTGATCCAGTCATTGTATCCCTCAGGGAGCAATCTGCCAGGAAGCTGTCCTCTTGAAACTTCACTCTCCACTGAGTAGAGTTCCCCTTACACTCCAGTGAGACAGAATCAGAGGTGAAGTGTTGCACTCTTTCAGGACTCACTGTGAGAGATGCTGATGAAGGCAAATCTAAAGAAGAAAGAAAGAAACAAAAGGTTCAACAAATCCCAGCAGTCCAAAGATTAAAAAAGAACAGACAACTACAGTTAGCTGCCATTGGACTTTATATTTAATTAAGATAGACAACCAAGGAACTCTTGCTTCTGTCTATAAATTGAAAGACTTTCTTTGACCTGTGATTTTTCAAAGATATGAAGGATTAGCATTTCATAACGATGTTTCTCCATGAGTAGTTGCATTCTTACTTTTTATTTGTGTTTCAAGTCTGTGGCTTGGTTTTTTCCCTTCTTTTCCATTAGTACATATTCTGTTTTATCAGGAATGGCTGAAATAGATTTTTCATATAGAGTCTACATACCACTGATTACTGACCAACTATTTTAATCAAACAAGCCCTCACATGTGAGAGTCAGCAATTAGCAATAAGATGCTTAATTATACAAAGTAAAATGTTTTAGTGTTTTTCATGCTACCAAAAACAACAACAACCACTCACCAAGGAAACGAGTTTGTTGTACAATACAGACAAAGTACTGAAGAAACTCTATGTTGTTCATAGATCAAAACTGAATAAAGATATTAATCTCAAGATAAAGACAGAAACAAACTGACCTCCAGACCAGACAAACTTTGGTTTACTATAAGGAGTGTTTCATTTCTCCTCTTCCAGCTCTGCACACATATCCTGCTGTGTGTGTCTGTCCATGAACAATGAAGGAATACTTTC